CAGAAGGAAATGTCAATTGATGGCAGCAGTTTTTATCTATTACTCTCTACATACTGCATAGCGGTAATACGGTGCAATTGTAGAGTGAAAAGTAAATATTCAACACCTGGACGCATATCTGTTCAGTCCAGTTGCGCGCTTACGAGGAATTGATGGAAAGTCAATGCATGATAATGCGAGAAACACCGAAATTGTTGGAAGTAGGAAGTTGGGAAGTAGGATGAGGGATAGGGGAGAAGGGGTGTCGTACCAGAGAGAGGATTTCGGAGAGGTCAGCCAGAGCACGCCCTACCGGTAAGGCGTGCTCTGGCTGACAACCTGCCCAACCAACGGCTAGGGGTCTGACTAGAAGAACAAGTACCGAAACGACTCTGAAAAGTAGGCTGTGAATATGTCGATGCTTCTAGGCTGCTGCGATTAACAACAGTCTTCCTCCGGTATCTTATATTAAAGCGGTAGATGTTTGGATTGGAGTCTGTCTTGCGTTCATTTTCGCAGCAGTCCTCGAATTTGCAATCGTATCCTACTGCGCATCTCTCAGACATGGTGAGGAAAATAGTATGGCCTAGGTCCAGAACTTTATAAAAAATCCTTTTTGCCAGGTCCATGTCCCACTCACGAGAAATACCATGATGTCGTGAGAGAAGCACAAGAGAAGACCAAGCCTGTACGTGCTTTTTTTTACGAAGTTTTGAGTATAATAACGATGCTGCGCTCAATGTTTAGATCCACAGAGGGTAGTAGTGAGGATATTCACGTAATGAACGGTTAAAGCGATAATATCGAGAAATGTCAGAAAAAAAACCCGGATTTCTATTCCTACTGACACCGAAGCTTATGTAGGGAATCAGACCCATTTTTCCAGTTAATTTTTAAAAGGCAAGATCCGTTGCTCTATGTGACAAGAGCGCGTCTTCAGAACTCGGTAACGGGAACCTGTGTGTGAGTTTAGAAGGGTACGTTCAAGAAGCAGTGCAGAGCCGTAGCCCCTACGTCGATTTCCGAACTTCTCGCTGTGATTCGCATAGCGCATTCATGAAGACGAAGAAGATTTATGAGTGAATGAAAATGATAAGAATGAACTCTGCATTTATCATCAACTGCGCATCCTGCCATATGTCTTGGGGACTGGCTTAACATATTGTGCAGTAGAGTGAGTTAATTACAGAACTTCAGTACAGGAGTGACTCTAAGGAAAGAGGAAGGGCAGGAAAACCTCTGGAGAGAAACGACTATTATACAGGACCGTTGGCGGGTACTGCACGAGTTTAAATTGATCGGACCTCCACTGTAGAAAAAAAGCCGCGGGTATCCGTTCGCCTCCTGATACATCCTCGCCGAATTGTGTCATCACCTGTATACCAATCCCCTTCGCGAGCCAGGCGCTTCCTTTTACTGTATTGTACAGTTATTCTTTCTTAAACCTTTGGTGCAGGTCATCTGCTGAGCCGCAGTGACTAAGGTGCCCGGAATTGGATGTGATCTCCGCAAAAACCATCTGGATACGGACTGCCCAAGTCGGTGCCTTTTGTAATGGTAGTTGATACAACTTCTGGAGGTCCCGAGAAGTCTTATCGTTAGTACGTAACACAGTAGAAGGGGTGTACACCAGTGGCTGCATAATAATGAGGTGAAGTGTCGGCGATTTGAAAAACGGAGGTTCAGTATAGGACTAAGAATGTAACTCGTCGTAGTCTGCATTCTGATTTTTTTATGCATTACACGGAATTTTTCCGTGCAGTACATAGACAGTACAGTGCAGTATATGACGCACTAGGGGCGAGATCTTGTGAGATAACCTTTGATCATGTGTAATTTAGCAAGAGAAGCCGAATCGAAGTGATAGCTGGGGCACCGAAAAAGAGTTGGAGTCGAAGCTGCTGAAGGGGTCTGAAGGCGAGGAGACTACCAAGGGCAAATTGTCGTTGTGGCAGCGATGGAAAGCTGGAGCAGATCCACCGAAAGTGATCGATCTCAAGTCACGTGAGTGTTCTTTTCGTTCAATACCTTTGAAATTTGTCAATTCCAATCCTTCATCAAGCATATTATTCACAAGATATTGGGTTTTCCTCAAAATTCGACTGGATTCCGACTGCACCTCTCCCTAGCGGTCCCTCATTCATCGTCCGCCATTATAAACTGGCAGCAGCTAAAATAGTGAATGAGAGTGGCCAAGTACGGCACAGGGTTATGCTGGCTGGCTATCAGTCAAATCTCATTTGACTTCCCGAACTTGTCTGTATTTGATTAGAAATTTTCTCTGGTAAACCTGCCAAAGCGAAAGTAAGTGTGTCATCATCCCTGTGAATCAGGACACGCCATTGCGTTGTGATCATTTCCTGAAAAATACGACCCCCCCCCCGCTAATTCCATCTTCA